CGCTCTTCCGATCTTGGGAGCACCACAGAAATTGCATCATTCGTGATTTTTACGCGTTTTACCTTACGAGATGGGTTGCTGTTGACTGTACGTGCTCCCAATGAATAAAATGTGATGAAGGAGAGCAGAATTATTTACGAGCACGAGCGCGGTCAGCAAAAAATACATGCAGTTCCGATTAATGACTGCCGTCCCAACAAGGAACAACTGAGCGGCTCTCCGTCAGAGGGCAGCTAGCTAGTGAGGCGGTCCAACTGAGCAGGCGTTAGAACTAGAACTTTGAGCGGTTCTAGCTCGCTTCTCGCTCGCTGAGGAGTCGCGAGAGTGAGATAGTATCTAGCTTGGGGGCTGAACTACCTGCCCAAGGAAGGACGACCATGTACTACTTGAGCGCGGGGCTGTCTTTTGAGCAACTAGAAAATTACAGAAATCGACTTAGCGCTTGCAGTGATTGGCCGCGAAAAGTTCAAAGCTACCCGCGAAACGCGCAAAGCCTTATACCGATATCTTTCCTGGTCGCGGTAACCGCTGGAAACGCTATCGCAAAGCATGAACGCTTTTTTTATGTTGGCCGCGACATGGTTCTATCATTTGGTGCAGAGCAACAGGCGGCGATTTTCAATTTTTTTTTCTAATTTGAAATCTCAGAAGCAATTTTTACAGAGTGGCGAAACATGAAAAGAAATCGTACCTCGTGAGGGAATGGCACGTGGCGATCGCATTTACAAGTTCTCCTTCCAACGGCAACTCCGTACGATCCATGTGGCTTGTTTCAGTTGTAAAAACAGGTCCATTCGCACCATCTACTGGCAATACTCCTCGAAGAATGTGGAAATCCAAACCATCTTCAGTTAAAGTTACCAGTTTTGTCGAAACAAACCTAAATTGGAAATGCTTCATTTTTCTGAAATACTTTCTCTACTACAAATCAATAAAAATGATTCGAACGGGGTACTTAAAAAAGGTGTACAAATTTGATCAACGTAATAAAAACGTACAACATTGATTGCTCCACATGTGTTGATGGTAGATGGAGAAATACAATATATTTCCTTTTTCTTCAGTCTCAGCTGTGCATTGATTATTCCAACCGACATAGCCGCTGCAATACAAGTTGTTCAAGAAGAAGCTGATTAGCTACGAGGAATGAGCCAACCAGGCAAAGCAGGAGGAACAGTGATTGTGATGATGTCCAAGGCACGAATTATAACACGTCGCAAGGTACTTCCTCTCAGGAACATAATAATGATGGTATAGATGAAGCCACAACCAGAAATGCAGCCAAGAAATCCGACAAACTGAATTACTCTATTAATCGTCCGATTTGGGAAAATTAAATATTTGAACTGGTAAATAATAAGGCAGATAGAATATATGAGAGGGAACTGAAATTTTAGCCAAGATACCTTGAACAAATCCTTTGTAAAACGGAAATCGACAGGTTTAGGATACATGATGGACCTGACTAGCTGCCCTTTCATAGTGGAAAACCCAGTGCGCAATACCACTGCCTTAAACACGAGTACGTAAGTCCGAAAAAAATCTAAGTGTCAAGTGCTAATGAGTAGATCTATGGCATTCTAGCAAATCAAAGCAAAGCCGGTGGTTGAACCGGCGAGCGATTGCTCACCTTGACTTTTTGGCCGCGGTAATATCGCGTCTGCAGGACTTGCGTTCCACAGAACAGCACATGTTTGGAGTGCTTCTCAATGGAAAAATGCTTTTCTTCTCGAATATCCTCCGTAAGAGCAACCTGAACAAAAGGCAGTTAGGCTGCTTCCATACTCTGCGTCAGCGTTTTGAGCGCACAGCGTTCCGGGCGATTAGCAAAGTACAATTATCGATCTAGCGTACGCCGTGCAGAGTTTGAACTGCTTAGAAAATGTAGATATTGATCTAATTTTTGCGCGTACGTCAGCACTTCCACGACTGCCCGCGAAAATGCTCAAAACCGTGACCCAAAATATGAAGCCGGCCTCACGTCTCCCTCTGGAAATTAATGCTGATATAACAAAAAAGTCAAAACAGTCAAAGCAAGCAACATGGCGTTCTCACATCCTGAGCTCATCAAACCTAGGACAACTGGGGTGGTCTCACTGAGGGGGGGGGGGCTATGCGTAAAAAACAACACAAGCTGTGGAAATGACAGTTTTGGTTAAAGGTGTTGGCACGATGATTTGGTGCTCGGCCTAAAATGCTAGTAGGGCGCTATAGTGGGGAAATGGCGAAAGAACGGAGTGAAACGGTCAAAATCCTGCGAAGAAAAGCCTCCGTTCTCAGTGACTCTAAATCGATTTCGGACGAGTTTCCCGTAGGCATCTTGCCAATAACCGCTACCGAAGGTACGGCTGCATATGTGTACCCATATATCCATGCAGCATCACGGCCGCTTCATACCAATCCCTTCGCTTCATAATTTGCTTAGCAAATGAATCGATTAGAGCGTCAGGAACGGTCGTCCATTTGTGGGCGGGCGGGCACCTGGTCGCGTGGCGCGGCGGTGAGTCCTGACCTGGCATTTTGCCAACTTCCGATCGATATGACCCTATCGCAGTTTGCTTGGAGCGTTCTTTCTTTTCCTCATCTTCCATCTGCCAAGAACATGTCCAAACAGGTAAACATGTTCAAACATGCAAACATGTTGAAGCATGTAATCGCCGCGCGCGGTGACCTAGTTTCAAGCGCGGCGGTGACTCTTGGCCGTCTCCCGCGTGGCGGGCGTTTGGGTCGGTATGTTGTGGCTTGATAGGGCCCTTATAAGGGCACCTCCCTTGGAAAAGGCATTATGCAGCGCCTGCTCAGGGTCGCGGAATTCCGTCCTGCCAGGCGTATTAATCCTACTCGTCTTGGGGGATTTATCGTGCCAACTGCCTTGAAAATCCTTCAAATACGAGAATGAAAATGCATCTCACCTTTGTAACTGGCACTGATTCGCCAGTTAACATGCTCTCATTAACTATGGCGGTTCCGTTCATAAGGACAGCATCACATTGAAGGAGACAACCATGAGGTGGAATCAAGAGAATATCACCAGGGACCAACTAAAACGTTCCCTAAGTTGCGGACCAGTTAAAATGGAAGAAGACTTAAAAGTTTACTCGTTCACTGTCGATTCGAGTAACAAATCCACCATTCCTGATAACTTCCACTTCACTGCTCGAATGAACCATGGCTCGCAGCCTGAATTAAAACATATATTCGATCATGAAACCGAGCAGAAGCGACGACCTTTGAGCAAAATAATAAAGCAAGTGA